CCGCAACTTTCAGTAAATCGACCCCCGTTTCATCGCGATACTATAGACGTTAACCACGCGATTCCTCCTGCGATGGCTATTTCGACGTTTTCAACCTGCAACCCGAATTGTACATCTCAAGCCACATACCGGGGATGGTCGTGTCTCTGTCTCACTTTCGTTGTTACATTGGAGGTGGTTGAAAATATTAAGTTGTCATGTTTACGGGATTTTTACTTTTTCCAATGAGATATCGTTTCATTACGACATAGTGACGCGAGCGGTACAATACAACTGTCACAAATTCAATTCGAAAGTGAGACGAAAAGAGAGAGAGAGAGACTATTATTGCCGCGAGCATCTCCGTGACGGGGCTCGGCGAAACGTTTTAATTCTTTTTGGTCGTACGACGATTCTCTACGCTGTCGCAATTCTCTCGTATACCATCCCGCATGGAATTCCGCCACACATTCGCCGTAACGTTCCGCGTTAAATTGCGCAGCCTTGCGACCCGACAAAACCGCCGTACCGTGCAGTACAGTGCTCGGAACACGACAACGAGGAGATTCTGACGGACGGGCTTCATCAATGGAAGCCATACATGGACCCGAAATTAGAACCCTGCGCGCTTTACTGCATCAACGAGAAACAAACCTATGTGAAGATCTCGCCAACGGCGAATGATTCGACACCCTGCAAGGCTGGAACAAACTACATGTGCATCTCCGGAACGTGCAGGGTGTGAAATTGTAACTTTTTGAAATGGAACCGCCTTGCTGAGAAATCTCTACTATTCATGCTAGGATTGCCATGTTGATTCGATCAAATTCACCAACTAAAAACTTTCCCAGTATTTCTCATATATATGTATATACTCGTATATTCAGTTTGTCTTTTTTAAAGATATCTACGTTTATTACGTATGCATATATAATTTCTAAATATCACAAGTTAAAAAAGTCCTATTGTTTTTCGGATTTTCTATGTATTCAAATTTTATTGATTTTTATTGATTTTTTTTTTAAATATATCTTCAAACTCGAAATTCTTACTCAACTGGAATTATCTTGGATACTATATGTTCATTGTAAAGTACAAATGCGTAATAATAATCATAGTACATGCAGTAAATATCCACGTATCTATGACGTACCTTTAACATTACTTTAGTGAAATTGAATTTAGTAGCAGAATTTTTAATATTTATGCACATTTATAATTATTTTAATAGTTAGCATTAGCTATCTACCATTAAATAACGATGTAAATATTTGCTGAAATTGTAATATAATTCAAATAATAGACGATGCGGCAATAAAATTTATAGTTGAATTAACATTTTATTAAAAGAAGTATTTTTTATCTTTTTTACGAATACCTCTTGCGAATACCCCTTTTTCACGAATTTTTAACTCTCTGCTGGTAACCTGGAATTTTATCTTTTCCGTCAGCAATAGGGATCTTTGAGAAACAAAGCAAATTTTTTAAATTTTATTTCAGATTGTATAAAAATGTAAAACAATTCTGGTATATCGTTAAAGCTTTAACAACGAGTTTTTATCATCATAAAAGTTGGATTGTAGCTTTTATTTATTTTCATAGATTTAAATTTATCTACCAGAATTCATAATCGAAATATCAAAGGTGCTTTAAGAGAGGCCGTGTCACCGGAGAGTTAAAGAAATTTATGCGTATTGGCATTTATGATTCTTATCATGTCAAATGTTACTGTGATATGTGTTTTTCGTACTGCAGAGAGTTGGATGCGATTGGATGATAGACTCGTACGCAATCGAAGATAAATGTGGCATATGTAAAGGCGATGGAACCAAGTGTAGTCCGGTGGTGGGCGAATTTACTGAAATAGCGTCACAGAGCGGTAAAAATTCAGTGATTGTGTTCACAGCTTGTCAAATGGAATCGCGCAGTTTCTTCCCGTGATTTATCGCTGCTTTTTCTTCGCAGCGTATGTGAAGATCGTGACAATTCCGAAGGGAGCTCGAAGCGTGCAGGTTTCCGAGAGAAAACCCAGCGAGAACATGCTAGCCGTGAAACTCGAAAAAGATAAAACATACTGCATCAATGGAGACAAGTGAGCTTCTGCAACTCTATTCGTTTCCTTTCTTTACTTCTTCCGTATTTAATTTGTAACACCCACGACGCACCGATAAATGTCTTGGGAAAAATACATATGCTTCTCGTAACGACGATAAAAGCGCATAACGTATTTTTATTACGTACTCGTACTTTTTATGATGTCGTTCGCGACAGTCGTGAGTTTAAGAGCGGAGATTACGAGTGTGCTGGTACGATGATTATCTACACGCATCCGGAGCCGGACAAGGAAATAGTGGAAATGAAAGGCCCGATATCCGAAGATATCGAGATACAAGTAAACTATATCTATTTTCCAACGATTATCTCGATATGATACCATACGTATGATGTAATTACTAGTTTTGCACGATATACATGTTTCATCATATAAAAATTCAGTTCACCACGATATCTTTAATCTTTAGCTTTTGTAAAACTATAAATTTATTTCTTGTAAATTACCTTTCACAAAATCGTTGTAAATATTTTACTTTTATAATCTTTAATTGCAATTGTAAATTATGATAATGAAAGGTATCTATATAATTCTCAAAGTATGAAGTTAAAAGTGTCTTCCAATAATTGTCATTTGATTAAAGTTCTCTCTCTCTCTCTCTCTCTCTCTCTCTCTCTCTCCCCCGAAATCTTTTGTGTATACTATATTATATCAATCAAATGCTAGAAAGTATTCAAAGTGTATCACATATAATTTTTGTCTTCCCAATTCCTTTAGTATGTATTTTTCAATCCTCGAGACAATCCTGGAATAGATTACAAATATTACGTGAGTTCAACGAATACATCATACACGCCCAAGTACATGTGGGACTTCATCGAGTGGTCAGAATGCAGCGCTAAGTGCGACGGTGGCACAATGGTAATTTATGTGACATCGTTACACATACACGCGGATGTGTATAATACGACCGCGAGTGCGAGCGCTCTTATGCGAAGGACGTGTTATCGATTTGCGTAGATATCTGAGGCGTCCTGCATAGAAGAACAGGGCGGGCGAGTGACACCGAACTTCTGCGACGGTATACCGCGCCCGGAAGCAAAGAGCCGCATCTGCAATCAGGCCCCTTGTCCCGCAAAGTAAGTCACAAGTTTCAGATGTCGGCAAGTTCCACATGACAGTGAATACAGACAATGCAAATCGTTAAAATAATTTCGCAATAAGATAATTCGTTGAATGGAGCAGTATTCTTTAAAAGAGCAGTATTCTTTAATGATAAGATAAAACGTATTTGAAGTAAAACAACAGTATTATAAAAGTAAAATATTTTGTGTAGAATATTTTATAGAAATATTTTATAGACAACGGATAAATATGTATATGTAGCTGTATTGCAACATAATGTAAAAATCGAGATTTTTTTCGGATTCATGCTTTTTTATTTCTGGCAGCTAGATTTCGTAGCAACAAAAAATACAGTGGGGAAAAAAATGTAAATTTAAATATTTGCTTGAATAGTACTAGCTGAATATTTACTAAATGTAACATTTACTAGATGTATTTATTTGCTACAAGAATCATTAATTTGATTAAAATTATTATTTTTTTATTTAGAGAGTAAATATTTATTTACTTTTTATAAGTAAATGTTACAATAAGTTAGTACTAACTATGACACAAATTATTGAAATTTTCTTCTAAGTGTAATAACAGCGAAAAATGTTTTGTATTTCTTAATAGCAAGAAAATATAACTCATTAACGTTCCAACAACAACAGTTCAAATAATACTCACGACGCGACGTTGAGATAAAAATCTGAACGCTATTGGCTTCCGCTCCATCATCGATCTTAGTTCCTTCTATAACGATGACGTAGTACTACGCACCTATGCCCGCACGTTTGCCGATAAATAAGATGTTAACTCAGCGTCGCATAAACAACGATCTAGCGTTTTGTGCGCACATTAGCGTCCGCTCGACGAATCTAATGTAAAGCAAATAAATCCGTGTCCGTCGCCGGTCGTATGTGTAGATGGAGAGTGAGTCAATGGAGTAAATGCAATGCTTGCGACGGGAAAAAGGGTATGAGACATCGCAAGGTTCAGTGCGTAAGGCCAGGTGCCAGGCCTGGGGAAGACGATGTGCAAGCAAATCTAGACGCGTGCAAAGGTCGTGTACCGAGGCAGAAAGAAGAATGTAGAGGTATATCACTGTCGTGACCTTTCGCATTCTTAATATTTTCTATGCAGTATAACTTTACGGAAAGAACGATTTTGTTGAAATTTAGTGAAAATTCAGCTAGATATAAATCCAACAATAATTTTGTTTTCGTTAAAGTACAATAATTCGAAATTTCAAGCACGATGAGCAATGCTGCAAAAAGTTTGGAACCTTCTAGCAACCAGCTTGAACTGGTTACACAGACTATGTAAACAGAATTATTTTGATAGTGAAACAAAGCTATTTTCAGATTCGTATCTAGTTACATTTTTAGATACTTCATTGGGATTCTATTATATGATTTTTAATAATAATATCGATATTGTTGTATTATCGTTACATAGGTATTACGTTACCGTTACGCAGATGTTATGTATGGTAAAAAAGCTGCGCCATAACAATATAACGGTACCAACACTATCATTAAGAGTTACAGAATCCCAGTGCGGTAAAACCGTTGTTTTTGTGTCGAAAAATTCAAGACAATCATTCCGAATGGAGAAAATGTATTCGTATCAGGTACAAGACCCTGCAAAATAATGTGTCCTAAGAAAACACGACGGTCCGATGAGAAGCGGGAGCTTATCGATGAGAAAGAGAAAGGGAGCTTGTCGCTAGGTGATCAACGGAGAATGATCGACAGATTGGTCGATCTCGGTCTAGCTCGTTACTTGGAGAAGTCCCGCGACAAGTTGCGCGATGACGACAGACTCGACGAAGATAGGAGCGCTGCTCGAAATTTCCGACAGGTCCTTTACGATTGGGCGATGACAAACGAGGACAAGCGTAAGCGCGCCTATGACGCGGAAGGGAGATTCACTACGCCGAAGCCGGGATCCATCATTTTGGATTCGGTACCCATCGAGAACGTTGTACTGATGGAGGCGCCGTACATGGACGAGTCTCTTCAGACTAATCTGTCGGACAAGGCGTTCCAAGAATCCGGCGATCTCGTCGGTGTTGGCATCGACACGAGCAAGAAGAGGGTGTACAAGGGTGCTCAAGCGCTTGAACTTATCCAACAGTTAGCCCGTCATAATGAAACAGCGAGTGCGCGCGAACGAATTGTTTCTGTTAATGCGAACAAAGCTCTCAATTCATCTCAGTCCGTCGACGACGCGGGAAGAAAGCGTTGAGCGAGAAAGAAATTAAACGTTGCGATAAATGTACGCATGTTATCTTCGTTATGTATTTGCCGTGTTTAAGTTTCATGTTTAAGTTTCAGAAATATATGAATATTTAGATATAACATAGATCGAAAAGTTAGCATTACACGCTGTATTACGAGGCTCGCTGATTCACGTCGTACGTGATTGATTAGCTTGACGGCATGAAGGCCGTCGAGTCAAATAAAACGTACACGTAATACGTACACGTAAAATAAAAGCGGCGTGGCGGACAGACAAACGGACATCCGTATTGCGGAACCCAGGTGGAACGAGTACAAAAGTCAAGATTAATGACTCGCGCGGCGAGTTTCTTTTACAACTTAATCTTTATTGCTACAAGAAAATGTCGCGCGCCAGGCATTTACCTATAATACCCCTAGGACATTAAGAAGAAAGGGAACGTCTGCAATCTTGGATCGTTGCAAAGTATCGCTGCCGCCATAAGTAACATAGCGAACGATGAATCTGGGAAGATCAATGCACAGCGAGACTCGTTAGTGGGTCGCGGGAAATTATCCTCCCCGTGTCGTTCAGCTGTAATTTATGTCGCCCGTCATCCTCACCGCATGTACCGCCGCATATTGAGAGATTATCTTCGGATTCTAGCAGATCTATCGGCGCTTTACCGTCAATTATGCCTGTGTTGGCCGGACTCAAACGACATTGTTGATTCAATCGAGCGATTCATCTCGCGGCTCCCAACAATCGACGTGGGACGTTTTCTGGTGTCCGATCGTTGAAATGCGATACGCCTGCATAAAAGCACGCGCCATAAGTATAATTTGGTCGTATAACATAACGATTGTTTTTATCACTCGTTGAGCATCGAGCAATCTGCACGCGCCGCACGTTACGTGCTCAAGAGCAACGCGCCGTCGTTCTCCCCGACGACTCGTAAAAGTTTTCTTGATGGATCGCGTAACCATCGCTTGAATCGACGCAGATTCGTCTTCCAGACGCGTGCACTTTCCACTCGTTCGCGCCCGCGCCCGCGCCGATGCCGTGCTTGAAAGAGCGTGCGCTTCGCGCGAGAGGAATCGATATATCCACCTATGTCCTCGTATGATAATAAATTCTTTTCTCTTTCATCGCGCCGAGGAACGTTCGAGCCTCTTCTCGCGATCATTCGCGCCATCGATCCACTTCGTCGCGTATCGCGTGCACGTCGTTCGCGAAAAATCGAGACCTCGGGAGACGCGCGCGCGCGCTTCTTCCTGAATTCTTTCTATGTATCTGAGAGCGTCCATGCCGATCAAGGTGAATTCCGTGCTATTGTTCGCCGGACGAGGCTCAAAATCCTTTGGAAAATTCGTAACGACATTCTTCTCGTCGCGCTCGAGAATAATCGTGAGCGTTAGATTTCGAATGTCCTCCTTATCAACCACTACCTCGCCCTTCTTAATCTTATTCGCGCTCACGTTCTTCTTATCATTCGACGCGTTCCCTGACTTTTTACCCGTCTGAGAACGGTCTCGACGAGTTTTAATCGAATTTCGAATCGTGTCCGCCGAAATCAAAGTCGTTGCTTCATTTCGAAGCGCATCAACATACCCGGTGCCGATGAGACAAGAGCGATTAGACGAATGTCCTGTCCATGTGGAGAGATCACCTGGGTGTCGGTCCTCTACGGTGATGGCACCGTTCGAAGCTGTCTTAGCGGGCACTTTAGCAGCTCTGATCAAGTCGTTTTGTCGCGTTGGCGTGCTCGACCGAGCGGAGAAGCGGCCACGTTTGCTGTCGGCGGCACCTCTGTCTTCTCGTCTTCGTCGGCTGGCATCGCAAGGCGCCGACTCCCTTGGCTTCGGTCCTTGGCAGTAGCTGTCCTCGATCACGTCGAGATCCTGCTCGCCACGGCCAACGGGTCGTACACATTTGACAGCGCGCCTTCTCTCGCAGCCTGGCGTACACGGTGTACAGCCTTGCCAGTCACCAATGATCCACCTGAAATCGCGGCCCGACGATAAGAGCGAGGCTTTTAATTAGCTGGCGACAGCGGGGCGACGGTGATTATCGCGTATAGTATCATGTCCCTTCGTTAGTTCCTCAAGATAACAATGACAAGTCTGTTCTTCGGCGCGCAAACATGATATGATTTATACGAAGTGAAGATATAAGGATGATGTGTGTAGAATTATTATTATACTACATCGAAGAAAATGATCTGGTTGGATTAAACAGTAGATTAAAAAATAATTCTGGTGAAAGATGGACGAATCAGAATTTTCCGACGAATCAGATTAAATCTATTGGAATTCTAGTTGAGATAATTAGAATTTTGATTGATATCATTATTCTGGTAAAAATAAGAATTTTAAGAAATTTTACAAGGAATATTGTATCAATCGGAATTCCGATTATCTCAACCAGAATTCTAATAAATTTAACCAGAAAATTCGAATTCGTCCATTTTCAACCAGAAACTTTTTTCATTTCTTATATTGTATCCGTAAAATAAATGAATATGTGACGCAAGTTCTTTGACATGCAAATCAATTTTAACGCTACTATATATCGAGTTTCGTTAAAAATTATAGAGAGTTGTTCAGTTTTTTCTTATATGAGATCTAATAAGTTCATGAATATTTTAAATGTAGAAAATTGTAAAAATATAAACTTGCCGCGGTATACAGGGAGCTTGATTGCATGGTCTGACTTTTGCGTCTGGTTTAGTGATGTTTCTGCAAAATTTATCGTCCACTAGTCCGCCGATTTTCTCGATGCAACGAGGTTTCGATATCTGTTCTCCCGGGCCGCAACCTGCCGAGCATTTCTCCCAATCGATGTAGTCCCATGTGAACTCGTGTTTGCGGGGGGTTCGTTGCTTCAATCCTAACGAGTATTTCAACGTAACGTTCTCCTTTGCTAAAACCTATCAAACTACTAGCTGTCAAAGAAATTCTGCGAAAGGATAAAATTAAATTTATCTTTAATGTTTACTGAGAGAACAGTTTTATTTAGGATCTTAATTTTATAATTATCAATTAACGTTATAATTTTCGTAATAATACACACATATACATGTAATTATATTTATAATTTTTTACTAAAAAAGCATATTATTGTCCCTTAAAATGGGGATTTTATACCCGTATAATTTTATACTCGTTTTCAGAAATAATCATAAATATTATATATTCTTTTTAGTACAAGTAAGATTTTTCAACCAATGCGTCTCGTCACCCTGATATACAGTAAAGAGTTTCCAAGTGCGCCGTAAAAATATTGGATAAGGTAAAAAGAAGCGAAAAAAATTTAGAAATAAATAAAAAAGCGAGTGAAGCTAGTGCGAAGTAAAAAAATTTTTTTAAATATGAAGATAATTTATATTATGTAGACTCTCATTTTAAGCAAAGCAATATCGTTGCAATAAAAAATCACTTTTAAAATTACTGATATTACAGCAATACTGACTATAAAAATAGAGCTTCTCATCATAATATTTTATCATGTAATTATAATTACATGTATTAAAAACTTTTCTCTCAGCTTTTTAAAATAACTTGGCAGTTACTTCAGTATAAAAGTGAGAAAATAGACACGACACGTCACATTTTCAGAAATAAAAAATTAAGTTTTAGCCGTTTTGTAAAATGTCGCGAACTTCATTCGCGTCGCGTCGGCAAACTATAATATATTTGAAAAAAGGAACTTAATTTTTAAAACTCACTTCCTTTGAAGATAATTATAGCAGTTGATAATTATAGCAGTACGGCGATTTTAAATGAATATAAAGTGTTCTTAAGAGAGTACTTCTCTTTGTGTATTTCTGCCGATAGTACATATCCAAGTTCGAACACCGTGTTTGAGATACGTTATCGATTTGCCAAGAATAGCGACTAATTAGTGGAGTGCGCTTATTATGTTTACCAATATAGTCAAGTCCTCAGTGACGGGTCCCGGTATATTCAAAGCTTCCTGCTTCGGTCTTATCATTCCCAGCCACGCCTTGGAACCCGGTACATTAAACATTCCTAAACGGTTGCTGAAATAATCACACCGCGTTGTTAACTACGGAGTAAGTATTACGGAGGTTAAAAAAAGGCCTCGAATTAAAGATATTATTCGCGATATTTGATCAGACAGTAAATACAACTGGTGACGGCTTTCTCAAGATTATAACATAAATGTGTTATAAAAATGTATATGTTAGAAAAATAAAAAATTTCATTTACCCATCGATCAGCACAGTTTTCGTATTTCTTGTGCGCACTACGATTCTGGATTTAGTTGGTTCTGCCTCCTCGACGCGAATATTTCTGGCACCGGCCGGCACGTCTGTTATTTTCTTGAGTCCTTAACGCGAAAATTCGTCCGAAAGATTATTGCAAGGAACTACTACGCGTGATATTATTCGTCGAGATTCCAATTTTGGCGCAACATTGCATTGTTGCGCAATGCGAAAAGAATTATTGGGCTGTCGCGAATCCGTGCTCTTTCTCTCTCTCTTTTTCTTTCTCTGACACATATATACATATACATATACATATTCTCAATGCGCTGCTCAAGATTCCTCTTGGAGAGCAAGACTGAGCGCGCGTCTTATACTTCTTCTCTGGCGGAATTTTAATTCACAGAAGTTCTCGTTCGCGTACTTCCTATTCACCGTGCCGTCGACGACACTGTGAAGTTCATCGGCATTTTTGTCAAGTTGCGAAATTCCCTTGACGTGGAATAGTAAGCGAGAACGCCAAGAAAATTATTATGAGGAATTCAAAAGAAAGATCGAGACAGAGAAAGAAACTGAATTTCTGTTGAAGACGTTGATACAAAATTCAACTATCACCTCTGCAATATTGTAAGAATATTTTTAATAATGCAGAAGCCCACTTCAATATTTGGTAATCGTTTTTGTTTCGCCAAAGTAGAGCGGTATTGGTATTCAAAACACCAGGCGAAATGAAATCTTTGTATCGGCATTTGTATTTTCGAATTTGTAACTAAGTATTTTTTTCTTTCTTACGAGATTGGGCCATAAAGGACACTGTTCCTTGCTTCAAGATGCATGAGGTACTATCGCCTCGAC